GGAAGCAAGATCCTCTGGGGAAGCAAGATCCTCTGGGGAAGAGCCTCCCCTCCCGCCTGCAAACTGTGTTCTGCAAAGGAAAGCCAGCAGCCCTCAGCTACAGTTGCCATCGGTAAATTTAAAAAAAAAAAAAAACAAAAAAACCCAAAAAACCAAAAAACTAAACTAAAAAAAGGCAAGGGACTCCTCCTTCAGCTTTCCATTTCCCCCTGGGTAAAGAATAAGCTTTGTGGATCACGCAGTTCTTGCAGGCTGGCTAAAATCCACCGCCTGCTGAAAAAACTTGCCTTCCTCCTAAAAACGCAGATGCTCCGAAACACCTATGAGACTTTCATGAAGACACACGTACCCCAGGGGAAAAAAAAAAAAAAAACAAAACAAACAAGCAAGCAGATCTTCAAAATACCAACATTTATTACATCGAAACCCAAAGTTCTAACAGTTCACGCATCCTCTTTTCCTTCCAGGCTGTCCCAAGTGTGACAACGGGAACGCAAAAGTGTCTGCTTGTATCCAAACAAAACCATGTAATGAAAGTCTAAAAAAAAAAAGGTACGTTTATACAAAACTCGTATGGTCTTTAATTAACGCAACGTAAGTGGTATACACAGATCGATACGTACAAAAAGACAGATGCATAAAATAAAAGTTAGTATTTTACATTTCTTGTGCCTTTTGCTGAAATGTAGAACGTTTCTCTTCACTACCGATATGGAGGGAATAAAACACAGCAGCATTAACTCAGATTTCAGCTCTTATTTACAGAATTTAGATGGTAACATCGTAGAATATTCTTGCTTTCATAAAAAAATATAAAAGCTAGCTGTTATCTACCGTTATTGGAGAGCTCTGCTGCTGTCAGCGAGTATCACTATTCACAGCTTGATTAACCGGTTACTGGTGTACAGTTCAGGCTACACCTACAATGATTATTTCAGTCAGTTCCGAGAGACACTGGATCCTCCCTTACCCCATCACCTTCTCTACTGCTTCAATGGGCCCTTTACGCGTTTTCCAAAATTCAGTGCTAATGCCGACTGCAGCATTAACAGAGCAGGATAAAGACATGACAACCAAATGGCATTAAATATAAAATACTTAATCATTTTATTCTTCTGATTTTTTCAACTTTAATTTTGCCTTGTTTTCATGTGAGGAAGCTTTGGCTGCTTCAGCTTTGTCTGCAGTTTCAGCAGTTTTCTTTTTTGGCCTTTGCCTTCTGGAACGTATCAGGTCTTCACGTCCGAGTTCAACCATTTTTGCTTCCCACGACTTCATTTCATTCTCATACCGAACCTTATCATCTTCAGCAAGCTGCAGGTATGGCTGGAAGAAAATTAGGGATCAACAGTTACGGAAGGGCCTTTGTCAGGATAACCGCCACGTCACGTCCTCCCCTTCGACACAAACGTGACTTACTGTGCAGCGCACATCCCAGGCGTTCGCTTTCACCTCCAGAAAATTCAAGACACATCAAACTTGCACAAAAATACAAAACCTTAGCATTGAATCATGGTTATGTCAACAGATGGCTGTTCCCGAAGAGGAAGTTTATTCAGCATTACTACTAACAGCTAAGGCTTTTTATTTGAGCACTAGTTTGAGAGAGCTGGCTTATGCAAGGAACAGGAATAGGTATTTCTGCACAACTATTTCCAATGCTTTTTCTACAGAAAAAACGCGAACCTAGCGCGCGTTCTAAGTACACAGTCAAAACAACCTGGAAGAAGGGCATTCAGGAGGAAGGAGAGTAAGGCGCAGAATAGCTGAAAATCTGGAGGTTTAGATGAGGTTTCAGTATAGCACCACTCTGATTTTCACACACCCATCTGCAGGTTCGTATTTCGGTACACTGAGAAAGCTGGCAGAAAACTATCCCCAAGACAACCGCAGTTAATAAATTACTGTGGGCACATCACTTGTAGATTTCTGTTGCTTCTACCTGTCAAAAGTCTTTCCACGAGCAGCAAATTATTATGCTGGCATTTAAAAATATTATTGGAAAAAAAAATCAAATCATTGCAAATTATTCTGCTTTCCTCCCTAGATGCCACTCCACATCCATTTCCAGGCATACAGAACTTCCATCCTATCCTGCGCACTCATTTCATCAACACCATAAAAGAGATGGTCACTACTGGAATAAAAGTAATGACAATCTTTTTCAAGACGCATAAATACGGTCTCAGAGTATTTTCCTCAGTATTGTATTTTGAACAACCGAGTTCAAGATTTTGTACGAGTTTCTTAATTTTGACTCAAGTTTGTCATTTTCCGAGTAGATCAGAGCCTCATCAAAATCCACAGACGTACCTGCTTTTGAGAACTGGACAATTTTCGCCAGGCATCAAATAATTGCTTCAGCTTTGCCTACAGGATATAGAATACGCAATACATTAGGATTATTTTAACAGTAGACTGACCCCAGGGAGTTACAGGTGAATGCCACTAGTGAAAGCCGAGTATAAACCAATGTCAAAAAGCACAAAGTCACACAGGCTTAACACCCCACCCTCTTAACGTAGGTCAATAATAAACGATACGGTTCAACAAGTTGCTGGACATCATCCGAGCCACGTTTACAGACAACGTAAGGACGAAGCAGTTTAAATTACTCAGCCTGCCGCCAAAGCAGGCAGACAGAACAGCTGAGCTGATTTACAGCAACGTGACTACGCCTCACCCCGCACACTGGTTTCATTTAAACCAAGCCCTAACTTAAGCCAAGCCCGCACAAGCATTAACCACGTTCGCAGGAAACTTTGTACCGCTTCAGCAGTATTTTGCCGTGTGAGTGTGTGTGTCAAACCAGGGCTCAGCTGACTGGAGATGCCTGCCCCGTACACAGAAAACCGAGGAACAAACTATTTCCACCACCCTGATTTCCTGACTAAATGCGTAGGGTAAGGAACGTATGAGGCATACAGGGGAGGTCTCCAGCGCTGTAACCCACCAGCGTAACTTCAATCACCCCAAAGCGCAGTTTGGTGCGGAACTCGTGACTTTGCTGAGGAACTCCTGCATGTTCCGTAACATCAGCCGTGCTACAGGAGGTACAATAAGCACTACTACAAAAATGGTAGCAGAGTACCACAACCATTTGAAAAAACAACGTACTTCTACACCAAAATAAAGTAGAATTCTCTCCTTACAGAAGGAACAGATGAAGTCTGTAACACTGAGGTGCAAAAAGTAGTGCAAATATTTGAAGTCTGTATACCCAACACAACAGTTTATATAAGACATGCCACTGGCAGCATAGCCGGATCACCGCAGCCTAAAAAATAAATGAGCTAAGCAAAGCAAAATCCAAATACTGAAGTACCGAAGAGTTTTTTTGAAAATGGCAGAATCTAAAACAGGTTTTCTGAATGCAACAGATCTATTTTAAAGAACAATCTTTCCTGGCTTACCACAGGTGAAATTCCCTCACTTTCTTGAAAGTGTTCTGACACAAAAATGTTAAAGCCGCTACGAGGTCTTTTAGGTTTTCCAAGCACAGTCAATTCCTTTAAAAACAACAAGAAAAGTTATTCAATCTACCAAGCATGCGTTTTTCCAAAGCTAAACTTACCATTTATCTTTATATTTTATACAAAAATCAGACTCAAATTCATTTTTTCGTGTTTCATTCTGTAAACTGGACTGTATGTCAAGATGCTCCCACCACTTGTCAAGACCAATGCTCAACCAAAGAACAGCTAACAACCTGAATTTTTGCAGACAGAAAAAAAGCAAAGTCTTCCAGAAACCAAAGACTGTTACTAAATTCCTCTCAGTAAGGAAGTCATGATGCCAGGTTTTCTATTATCTTCATAGTGCTTCGGTCTCTGGTGTGAAATACTGTGTGCTTGCAGAGAGGAGGGCAGACACCTAACTGTGGGAGGTGAGAAGGTGGAAGAGAACCAGATTTCCAGGGAAACAGAAGTAGGTTTCTGCTATCGCAACGCTTTGCCTACAGGGACGATGGTGAGAGAGGGAAAGCACAGCAAGTTAGGGATGCAATTACACTTGTTGTTTTCTCCAGCCCTAAGACATTCCCACTGCAGCCTGGGTGCTGCAGATTAACATCTGCTTAGGTATTAGGTACGCCAGCTAAATTCCTTGTGGTGCCTTACTCTCAAAAGGGATCAGCAGAATCATTTGGTTTAAAAACTTCCTCTAAGTAGGGGTCTTTCAAACCGAATTAATTACATTTTTGCCAATTAGGGCAACGTCACACCAGCGGTTTAATTCACAGAAACGAACGAGCAGTAAGTAAGCCCTTCAACTGATTTTGCCACTGGACAAACCATAATATTGTACCTTCACACATGGGTCTGTCTCTCGGGATTTATATATAAAGGGAATAGGGAAGATAACCTGCCTGAACAAGTCAATAAAGGACACAGATGCGCCTCTACGCAGCCCTAATTCAACACGTCAGCAGCTACTCAGATAGCAAAGCTGCAGAATCCAAAGGAAGGAAGGAAAAACGGCTGCTTCAAACAGCTACCACCTCGTAGGGGCCACTGCAGTAAGAGATGCAAGGCCTCCGTGAAAAGCGATTTCTGGATGTCTTCCCAACCAAAGAAAGGGCTGCTGGTTCAAATGTCTTTTATTTCTCAGGCAGCTTTAGGAATAGGGAGAAAAAAGCATAGAGAAGCTACCTCTAAGCACAAAGATATGTCTTCAAGCATAGGAAAGCCACTAAAATAACTGCTAACACCACCAGCAACTATCGTAGTCCATGGGGTTTTTTTGGGTTTTGTGTTTGTGGTGTGGTTTGTTTTTTTTTTTTAATCCCGAGAGCCGCTTTTGTATTTCTAAACATGCTTCAGCTCTGCCCTGTGTACTAGACAAATAGACTTCAGGTTCCGTGAGAGAAAAGAAACTTGGAACTTCAAAATACTTACTCTTTTTGCCCTGAACGTCCTTCTTTTTGCCAGTTTTTTTCTCCTTTCTTCTTTCAAAGCCGCAGCCTGGGCTGGAGTTAGCTGTGCTTTATACGTGGCCAACTGCTGTTCGTACCTTTGCCAGTCTGCCTTCCTAGCTTCCTCATAAACCTACAACGCAAACAATCACCAACCTTAAACAAATGCTTTCAGCGAGATAAGCGTGGTGCCTTTAAAATGACCGAAAAAGATAAACGGCCTTTTAACACACTAATTCTGACATGTTCCAATCTCCGTATCGCTGCCAACTTACCCAAAATAACCCCTAAAATCCCCAAAAAACACTCAAAACCCAAACCTACATTTAGGTAGGAAAGATACTTCTACAAAAACCTAAGCTATTGCTGAGAATTTCAGTAGTCTGCATTGTCTGGTACTCCTCTCGTTGAAGCAAGCCCCGTTAATCCCACCCTGCCACCTCCTCCCAGCTTTAGACAGCTGGGAGTTTTCTCAGCTCCATGCACTTGACCATTAAACAACCTAACTCTTCTAACCTACTAATTAAAAAAAAATTACAGGATACCCTGGAACGTAAGATTTTTAAAGTAAAGTAGCAATTTTGGGTGCGTTTGACTAGCGGAACGGATTCAGAAGAACTCAGATTCAAAACCTGGGCTCTTCCCATGAATTGTCTTAATCTGGTAACATCGGACGGATCTTCAGATGCAGCTCAAAGCACTACCAATCTTCCATACAAGAAGGAAAAGCTGAAGCCTGGTTGAAATGATTCAAGTGTGTGCACCCAGTGCAGCGCACAAGCGCTCCCGTCACCAAAGGCGTTCCTCCACCGGCCGACACCAGGTTAGAGAGGCATCACAAAATCACCGCCTTGGTACCAGGGCACTGAGAAGAGCTGAGCCAGGCTACCAAGCATCCAGGTAGACCTGAAAAATCACCACCCTGTCCTCCGTTTCGGACAGACAAATGAAAAGGCCTATTTTATACTAAGGCACGTGGAGCCAGAAATCCAGAAGGGCTGTAAGAGCATTTGAATGCTGTTGAACCAAGATGTTACTTTAGCTAGAAAGCTGCAATTAGTGCCTACCTGGATCTAATCGCTAACTGCAATCAAGGAAGCACAATCGTTACTTTGCTATAAATGGCACTTATATTCACAGCACTGATTAGCAATTCATAGCGCTGGTGTACATTATCCCTTGAAACTGCCACTCTTACAGAAACTTCACTACCTGTGACAAAAAGTTTATTAGACGAAACTTAAAGTCACCTGTAAATTAGGTCTCTGGTTACTATCGAATCTGTAGAAAAACTGAGGTCGGTCCTTTCACCAAAATAACTGAGGTCTCTCCTAGCTTATGCATATGAAAGCAGAACAACTTTACAATACTTACGTTATTATACATGTAATACACACATATAAAACTACCATAAAGAAATTAGATATATGTTCCCAGCCCTACAGCCACACAGAGCGAGATCTGTCTCATTTGTTTCTCGAGCAACAGATTAAAAATACTAAAAATAAGGTCACGCGTAGCAGTGTCAAAGTATCCTCCCCCGAGTACTTCAAAGCTCCCAGTTCTCTTCAGAATTGTTTTTATGTCTGAACCTTTGTACGCAAGTGCTTTTTTATTGTTGTTTAAAAAACCAAAACACCACCACCACCAAAACAAAAAAAACCCAACACAAAAAACCACAGCAGACCCCAAACCAAGTAAAACATCCACTAAGACTCGACAGAGTTCAAAGTACACAGGGCAAAGATACAAACTTACCTGCTTCTGTGATGCCGGTAACTCCTTCCAAGCCCCTGCTATTTTTCTAATCAGCTCTATGTTGCTCATTTCTGTACATTAAAATTAGAAAGCAAGAAAATAAAGATCAGGATTGTATCTTTAGTAAGCTGCTTCAATATTTCCCAAAGCAAGCTGTCTCTATATCTTTTTCCTGTAGAAATGTATCCTCCTCCTTTCATAAAACTACCTACTTGTGGCAGTTAAAGGGAGCTGTAATATCTGCAGGGGGAAGAGTCCCTGCTCTTGGTTCAAACTCAAATGAAACACGCAGTTACAAACTGAAGCACCATTTCAAGACAGACAGCTATTACCACTCCAGAACAGTTTAATTTTTTTTTTTTTTTGAGTTGGATCCTTTTCTATACAATGCAAGATGCTCTGAGGGGGGCCAGGGAAGAAACTGAGCGTAAAATTTCCAGTTTTTTGGCAAAAAGGGTCCGCTGGGTTCTTGAAAGCACGTATTGCGTGACCTTATCCACCTGATTTAGCACATATGCTTGATCTTTATTAAAATAAACTCCTTTATTTACAATATTGTTCAACAGAAGTAAGGTTAAAGTAATTTCCTTCTCCCACAAACAAAATTACAGTGACTTGAATCTGCTTTGGTTTTCAGCTGACTGGCTTTGACTCCAGCCCTTGCACTACGGTCATTTTGTGAAGTTTCCAGCCAGACCTGAATTTTTGAAGAGGGAAGAAAAAAACCCCAAAAAACCCCCCAAAAAACCCAAACACACCCTCCCCCCCCCTCCAAGGGTGGTAGAAAGAAGATACGAGCTTTTCTTGTTTTGAAAAATCCTTTACAGGCTTGCCCTCTGCTTCACACTAAAAGAAAAAAATAGATCTTCCTCTCTCCCACCTCAAATATAAAGTTCAGCCACCTCAACAGCGGAAAAGCAGAACTAAGCTCTTATCAGTAACCTGATTTCCAGAATTGTGGAAAACCAAGCCAGATGGGGAGTTCTTAGTCCAAGTATACCAATCTTAAAACCTTTGAAAAGACGATGCTTTGCCAATGATAAAACAAATTTTCAGGTTATTTTTGATCATTACTTCTATTGGAACGAGAAAGCCCCAAATTCTCAATTTGTGTATAAGATACATTACGTTTATTTGCAGGCTATTTGAATTTTGGAAACACGTGGAAAACACTGGGGTGGCATGTAACTACAATAAGCTCTGCAAGTTCAGTTCTCAACCTTTCCGACTGTTGAACTCTTGAACTTCCGAGCAAAACAGGGTATCAGACGGTTTCCCCTGCTTAAATGTACCTCACGGCTTGCCCAATACGACCACAGTTCTTTAAACATTTCACCATTCATTTCAGCAGTATTTTCAAAATCAGTGCAGCTTTCCATTTTGCTGCTCTCTGACAAGAGTGACTGCATTGCCTATAAATGAAGTTTTTGATGATAATTAAACACAGCCACAGAAAACCATTGTCCCCTAAATACATTTACTTTTTCTCCCGTATACATTGAGGCAATCCAGTACGTGTAGTTTTTAAATTACTGAGCAACAAAATAAAACCACATATAGCTCGTTGTATCAGCAATTATCGAATCATTGAGGTTGGAAAAGCCCTTTCAGATCATGCAGTCCAACCATTAACCCAACACTATCCACCACTAAACCAACTAAACCAACAGCGTACTTCAAATACGTACAGATTTCAAAGTAACCGGAAAACACAAATCGTTGTTAACTCGTCTTACCCAGGTGAGCTCTTTCTTCAAACGCTACTTTAGTTACACACTGATGTTCATTTTTTTGAGCTATTAAGGCTAGAAGACTAAGCGAATTCGTGTACAGGCAGTAAGCGCGGCAAGACTGGATTTAGTTGTGGTGCGCTACGGGGAAAAAAAGGTGGTTTTGGTCTCCTGAAATGAGGGTAATGTACTTTATCTACCTCGTGTACTTCAGTTACCTCAAGAGGGACATGGAGCTGTTGGAGGGGGTCCAGGGGAGGCCACAGAAATGCC